ATATATATATGTTACTGTTGATCCTTGATAGCAGCGGCTTACTGTTACATGGGTGGAAAGTGGGGTGACATCCAGAGAAATGAGGAAGGAGGCAGCAGGAGGTGCTGCCATGTCTGTGGAGGTTGTGTGTCTGTGTGTGTGTGTGTGTTGGGGTGGTGGGGGTGATTCCCTTGGAGATTCTCCTTCTATATTACAGTTTTAAAATGTCCTTTTCTTTCACACGGTTCAGTTTGTCTCGGTTGTCCCCGTCCTCCGGGATCAGTCCTCGTCTCCGTCGTCTCCTCCGTGCGGGCCCTCGGGCAGCAGTTCCGGGGCCCGCTTCTCTCTACTCCGCTCCTGGATCTTCCGCATCTCCTCCGCGTACTTACAGAAGGTGTTGCCGAATTTGGACCAGACTTTGCAGGGCACCGTGATGGAGTTCCGGTAGGTGGGCTTCACCTCGCTCACGCGCATGAACACGCCGTACTTGTTGGAGCCCACGTCGAAGAAGAAGCGCTTGTTGTCGACCGTGAGCGACGTGCCCTCCGGCAGCTCCGCCGGCTCCTCGTCCACGCCGTAGTCGTCGATGAGTTTGGCCAGCGCGTCGCGGAACTCGATGAGCCCCTGCGCCGGCAGCGCGATGGTCTGGCCTTGCGCGCTGCCCAGTCCGGGCCCCCGATTAACGGTCTGCCGGATCCTCAGGAACCGCCCCCTCTGGTTCTCCTTCAGATCCATGTAATATTTCCGATTCTCCCGCACCAGGAACTCGCTCTTCAGCGCCCGCCGGGGCTCGTCCTGCACCAGGTCCGGGTTGGTGGGGCCCAGCTGGGCGTAGTGTTCGATAAAGTCCCCGAGGTAGTCGCGGAACTCCACGGCCACGGACATGGAGAGAGTGAGGCGGCTCTTGTTCCCCCCAGCCCCGACCTCGGCTATTTTCAGGAAGCGGCCTTTCACGTTCTGCTTCACGTCCAGGTAGAAGCGCTTGTTCTGGATGTCGACGCGCTTGGACGCCAGCTCCTCGGTGTCGTGCTGCAGCCGGGACATGGCGCCCATCGCGCCGGGGGGCAGCGAGCCGGGGCCTGCGACGGGCCCTCCGTGGTCACTGCCACTGTCTCTGTCCGCCATGATGCCGCCTCCCAGCTCTGCCTTCCGCCGTCTCCCTCTGCCTGCTGCAACCTCGGCTGCCCGTCAGAGCTCCGGAGCTGCTTCTATCGCGAGACGAGAGCGGCGGGCTGCGTTCAGGAGCAGCGCTGCTGTCTGCAACGTTACACACACACACACACACACACACACANCACACACACACACACACACACACACACACACACACACACACACACACACACACACACACACACACACACACCTGCCTGCTCTTCCGAGTCACTCTTCATGTTGTCTTTAATCAGATAAAAACAGCACGTGGACCAGTTCTCACCTGACGGCACCGGGAGGGTGTTTCAGCACCACGGACAGCGGCTGGTCGCTTTCAGCACCACGGACAGTGAACCCGCTCAGTCCGGGGACACAAGGTGAAAAGTCTGCCTGCTGCACAAGCTGACAGGCTGAGATTTTTATTTTATATAATACGAACTGGTTTTATTCTGTTTCTTCTGAAGTGGGTTGAAAGGTTGTGAACAGTTAGTACTGTACTTTTGTAGATACTGTAGCTCTTTGATATCAGTATAGAAAAACAGAGATAAACAGTGTTGTATAAAGTACCACAAAGTGATACTTGAGTAAAAGTACAAGTATCTTACCAAAAAATTACTTTGGTAAAAGTTAAATTATTCTTTAGGAATCTTACTTAAGTAAAAGTTTTCACCAAAATGAATATCTGTCTGAGGGCTGCGACCAAATACAATAATATAATTCATGAAATACAAATACTTTTTAAGTACAGTCCTTTTATTTTAATGATTATATCCTGCTGCAGTGTGACATGATTTGTTTGTGTACAAAGTAATACAGTATCAGAATTTTATATATTTATACTTCTCATTCAACCACAGTTAAATTCACTCTGTCTAGGAGGAACAGTTTATATGGATAGTATTTATTTTTTTATAATAACAAGCTGGAATTAAAACAAGCAAAAATGAAATAAAAGTAACAACTTTCTACTTCTTGCCTTTTTAAAAAAATGTAAAGAGTAGAAAGTACAGATAATTGTGTGAAAACGTAAGAAGTAGAAGTACAAAGTAGGCTGAAAAATAGTTACTCGAGTAAAGTACAGATACCCAAAAATTCTACTTAAGTACAGAAACAAAGTATTTGTACTTAGTTACAACCCTGGAGATAAAGAAGTGCAGAAATCTGCTTTCACTGATGTGTTTGCTGCAGGAAGGATAGAACTTGTGATCTTCACAATTTTGATCTCAAAAAGTTGTTTGTTTGAATTGTTTCTTTATTTTGTTTAATTTAAACAAATATTTAAGAAATAAGAAAATAACAATACACAGTATAAAAACCACACAACTTACCCCTTTTTTTTGATCAAGGTCTTTTTATTATTTTTTTAACAAACCGCAAAAAAGAACAGACTTACACAAACAGAAAACAAAACACACACACCCAAAATCCCTCCCCTCCTACACCGAAACAACCAAAATCGATCTTGTGTTCATCAAGTGATACAATGAACAGGTTTGTGTTTAATGAAACAATATTTAACTTTTACACAAAATTATCTGCCAAAATTTTTTCTA